CTGTCACAGTAAATTCGGAACCTACTGACGGTTGCTAGTAAAAAATATACCCGGTAGTAGAACGGATTTCTAAAGGACTCAAACAAAACAGTAGCTAAGGAGTCGAATACAGCCATAAGATTATTTCATAGATTTCGTTCCTATGACTTTTCTATGACAAACCATTCTACGTGCTTTGTTATTGTGCCGCCTTGATTTCGGCAAAATTTAATTTCGCCGCCATGAATCATCAATTTTAATTCCTGCAGTTTCCAGAACCCGTTTATTTCGAAATTTTGACTGGTATTAAAAATAAAAAATGGAAGGTAAGACAGTTCCATACAGCAGAGTAAAATGTTTTCTGCTATGTTTAAACAGAAGCGCCGAATGGATACAAACAGGAAAGGTTATGAAAGACGGTTATAGACAAGCGTTGTGATGAGCGAACACTGATAAAGCGCAAATGATTCATCCCTCGTAAAACTTAAATGCAACAATAACAGAAGTTTGATAATCTAATCACAAAGAGCTATCCATCGTTATGGATCGGATAATAAAGAATTGAAAATGAATCCATAGATATTTGAAATTTATGTACACGTGAAGGCCGGAAAAAAATTAATGCACAAATGCAGAACAAGACTGAAATATAAATGTTCAACGAAATGAATATATTCTTACATACTTTTCAAAGTCTTCTTTCGGACAGATGTATCAGGAGTGGACACGCCCTTAGTCACAGACAATTCCAAAACGTCCTTCCTCCTTCGCTTTATCTCTTCCAAATCAGGAGAATAAGATCTTGATGTATTTACTCCGCGATTTCGCCTCTGTCGACTTTCCGTTATATTTTCTACAATCACACAAGACTACTTCAATAAAATTAGCACAACAGTAATGTACCAGTCACTACATCTTGTGCCGCTTTGTTGATGAAGCTAGTGACAAAGCTTTTCGTCTGATCCACATCAATCACCAACTTCGTCCAAGAAACTCTAGAAAAAGCTTTAAATAAAGCTGAAAAAATACAACTCGATGCATGAATTAGTGAAAAATGACGTAAAACAAGATTTTCCTGCAAAAAACGTAAAATACGGTGGTCAGTTAGGCGTCTAAGCAATACCGACATTTCAACCCGTGTCTCTAGGGCCTCAGAGCAGGTTGGTTGTGAAGTTTGGTGAATGTGACTGGTCGTCAGCAACAGTCGGAGTCGGAAGGCTTTTTGGCGGTACCAAAACGTTAGTATTGGTCAGCCACCGGATTAACCACGGTATCTTATGCATCGTGTTTTAGCTATTATTCAGTATGATCCCCAACGCAAGAAAAAATTATCCTCTCTTTGGATACACTGAATTATATTTTAATGGTAAAAAGAAAGGAAAACTTGCAACCATTACTACGTAGGTGTCTCTTATACATACATGAGGGGCAAAAACTGTACGACTTCTTTCTCTGTAGGTTCCGATAAGCTGATTACCATTTTTGGCACCGTCAGTCAAGGATAGTTGATTTTTTGAAGAAGCTATGGGGCTAACAGAGTCCGTGGTTTTCTGCTTCAGAAGAATAAAAGGAAAAAACGAAAAAACGAAAAGCGAAACCGCGAACTTTCCACTGCGACTTCGTCGTTCCATCAGTTGAGCTACCCTGACTTTATCAGCACGGACCAAAACCGACAGTTCAGACCGTATAAATTCTATGCAATGAAACCGCTAACAAAAACAAGTATATGTAAACTACTAAGTGGACGTGGAGTTCTAGTTATGAAGATTCCATAAGATAATCAGAAGATAAAAGATAGTTAACTGCATGACCACTCAGTCTACTCTCGATATAAGTAAACGAAACTATACATCATAAAACATGCCTCGGTCATTACATACTTGCTCAAAAATAGAATATTCACAACGTTCGTTTAGCTTACAAATTTTACAGAATTTGAAAGCCAACGAAACTAAAAACTAGTAAACCAAAAAACGTAACGTCACACGTGACATGCAAACTATTTGCTCGCATCGTTTTTTCTATGATAATTTAACATGTATATTAGAAAACTGATTCACATTTGTCCCACAGCATCATTATTAGGTAAAAGGTATATGCCATTTTAGCAGGATAGAGGTTGCCCATCAATCTGGTGGCCCCCAATGGATAGATATAACATATATCTATCTCTCCAAATGCAACAGATTAAGGGATCTGTCAATGACGACATAACAAAGAAGAGATGCATCATAAATAAGCAGTCAAAACACGCAAGAGCTGCATTTTGTCTAGTCATCTTACCTAAATTAAAACAGATGCTAAGTCAAAAACTTACCATTCTCAGTCAAGAGAATATCGACGCGTAGAGTAGTTCTTTTAACACTTGTAGCCAAAAAGTTGTGGTACGCGAAAGCAAACAGTAGCTTGCAAATAACCAAATCACTTAATCATAAATGAGAAAGCAGAGAGAAGAAAAAAGAAGAAATCATTACAGAAAGCATTATTTCGCATTACAAGAATTATTTTAAGGACAAAGTCACTGCCACCGAAAAAAACAGTGCAAACGCGCTTCAAAAAGAAGTAAATCCAGCTAACTACTTAATAACTACTTAATTAACTCAAATAACACTGATGCTCTCACAAACAGAAAAATGCAGGGCAAATATCTTACTTTTCAGTACTGTTCGTGATCTTGTTTTTTACGACATACGTTCCTTCGTACCAGACCTGGCTGTCTGAAGTGCTTGGGCACTAAAATTTTAAGGTAAGAATTTAGAAACACTTTCAAATTACTTACCTCAATAATTTCGACAGGCTGCAGCTCTTCTTCGCCATCATCAGCAAAAGTGGTCACCATCAACTATAAACGATCCGGACGGAATAACACTGCAGGAGTGAAATTTTTGATTTATTGCTTACCACTGAACCCTTTTTGAAGTGCGATATTGGAACAATATCTGGCTGCGGCATGTCGCGCAAAGCACCGTCCAAAAATCGAACCTTGTACCGCCCGAACCCGTCTTTAAGAAGAACATTGCCAGGGTAAAAATTTTTGTCCTTCCACTTCGCCAGTACGCGACAACCTGACGATCAACGAGCATAAGGAATGTCTTTCCAGGTCAACCTAAGCCTTACCTGGACGCAGGACACTGGAGGTATTAGTAGACATATCTACGTTCATCTGTTCCTGGGGAGATAACGTCTGAGTCTCGCTTTCGTCTAATCTGTAACTGTAATTCATTGGTGATTCGTCGTTTGTTTTTGCTCGTTTTCGTCGTTCCGACTTTGGGGAACCAACTCTAACTTTAGGCACAGGATTTTTCTTCACTTGAGAACTTTCTTCAGAAAAAAGAGACGCAGACCCGGATCCTTCGCCTTCATGCGTAGAAGAAACACTTTTACTGACTTTAAGTCCATAAACTGAAAGGCGAAAATATTCTTAATCAATACTAAATGCTTCTGTTTAATAGAGGATACCTTCTTCTTTGGGTACTGGGTTTCTTCTGCGTTTTTCCGCAAGATCAGGAGTTTGCCTAAAAGCGGATTTTATAGTAGTAAACTAGCATATCTGCTCTTTCTCATTCGTAGCAGACGCGCCAAAACTCTCAAAGTACAAACACTGCACTATTAGAAAACGGATTGACAACAATGTCAAAGGTGGAAAATTTACATGACGGCAACAATTCTGTGCAGGCATGGGACCAAGTTTCAGATGGCGTCTAGAGTCCTATTCAACTAAATGCTTATGGATCCCTCCACTTCGTATGAAAAGGTCAGCAGTCCGACGATGAGTCAACAGCAGCTGTGGTTAACAAATTTGGCCCTAGCCATCAACCACCTGCACGTGTTATTTTCAACAAGTACCAACGAAATCCCCTTAACTTCCACAGTTTCGGAATTGCTGTGACGTTAGAAGTTTTAAGACCAATCCATCTCTGACATTCCTAGTCGACAATTATAACAAATTAAATTTGTTCTAAATTTGAAACAAGAATCGTTCTAGCTAAACCTTTTGAACCTACATATAGTAAAACAACAAAAACGATTTATTACATACAACGCCAAGAAGTTTGTCAATAGGAGGATTTCACACCTGTCAGTGACTAACGTTTTCGCGCTATGCATTAATAATCTATATTATTATGCTGTTTTTCGTATAACTACCAACATGCTAACTAATTACTCCACCATTGGATATGTGATTAATTTAAGAACGTTAAACTTCAAAGAACTCGAAATTCAAGCAAAAAAATGCAAAATTTCAAAACCCAACATGTGAGGCTGATTATTTATAATCCAGGTCAGAAAAGTTCAATCAGTAAAGCCCAATGATAAAAAGCCTAAATCCCGATCAGATCGCTGACCTGTCATTCTTCTGCGGTAGACGCATGTGTATCAATTAGCGGGAATGAAACAGAAGTTTTGTAGTAGCAACTGGAAGTTATAGAAAAAAGGATCCACAATTAATCATGGAGAGATGGGAGACTGACATTCAATAATTATAAACTTTTATTTTCTTCATAATCCAATCTAAACATTTCTATAGTGGATCATATAACAGAACTCAGCCTGGCAAAATGCAGACTTTCAACACCTAACGAATGACAATATAGCCGTAAAGATTTGCCATAGACTCTGAAAATGCAGACTAATGAGGAAATAGCTAACGATGGTTGACAGAGTCCCTTCTAACTTTTAGAACAGTTCTTCTGAAACAGAAATACGCCAATTACAAACCGGACAAAATGACGGCAAC